ACAATAAAATTCACAAATTTTGCACCAAAATTCACAATAAAATTCACAAATTTTGTTCCATTTCCAAAAATTGAAGGCAAAAAATCTCAATTTTTATAAAATATTAAAAATAAATTTTTTTTTTTTAAAAACCACATTCAATTCCAAATTATTCCGCAGCCAAACCACACAAAGGTAAAATTTTAAATTATCTAAAAATGACGATGAAATTTTGGTTTTTGTGCTGTCAGGAAGAGAATTCAAGGATGAAAAATCCGAATTTTTCTTTCATTTCTTTCACAGATTTACCCACAAAGGTTCCCAAAAAATAAAAATAAAAATAAACCAAAAATTGCACAAATCCCTCAGGGAATTTTCAGCAAGAAGTTGGTTAATATTCTGAATTTCCATTCAAATCTCATCACAAAATCCCTCAATATTCTGCATTTCTATTCATTTTAATCCCATCACAAAATGCCTCAATATTCTGAATTTCCAATTTGGTCCCATCACAAAATCCCTCAATATTCTGAATTTCCATTCATTTTCATCACAAAATCCCTCAATATTTTGAATTTCCATTCAAGTCCCATCACAAAATCCCTCAATATTCTGAATTTCCATTCTTTTAAATCTTATAATAGAATACCTCAATATTCTGCATTTCTATTCATTTTAATCCCATCACAAAATCCCTCAATATTCTGAATTTCCATTCAAATCTCATAATAAAATACATCAATATTCTGAATTTCCATTCTTTTAAATCTTATCATAGAATACCTCAATATTCTGCATTTCTATTCATTTCAATCCCATCACAAAATCTCTCAATATTCTGAATTTCCAATTTGGTCTCATCACAAAATCCCTCAATATTCTGAATTTCCATTCATTTTCATCACAAAATCCCTCAATATTCTGAATTTCCATTCAATCTTAGAATACCTCAATATTCTGAATTTCCACTCAAATCTCATCACAAAATGCCTCAATATTCTGAATTTTCATTCATTTGGTCTTATCAAAAAATCCCTCAATATTCTGAATTTCCATTTTACTCTCATCACAAAACCCCTCAATATTCTGAATTTCCATTCATTTAAATCTTATAATAGAATACCTCAATATTCTGCATTTCTATTCATTTTAATCCCATCACAAAACCCCTCAATATTCTGAATTTCCAATTTAGTCTCATCACAAAATCCCTAAAAATTCTGAATTTTCATTCATTTGAGTCTTATCAAAAAATCCCTCAATATTCTGAATTTTCATCCATTTTAGTCTCATCACAAAATCCCTCAATATTCTGCATTTCCACTCAAATCCCATCACAAAATCCCTCAAAATTCTGAATTACCATTCATTTAAATCTTATAATAGAATACCTCAATATTCTGAATTTTCATCCATTTTAATCCCATCACAAAATCCCTCAATATTCTGAATTTCCATTCATTTACATCACAAAACCCCTCAATATTCTGAATTTCCAATTTAGTCTCATGACAAAATCCCTCAATATTCTGAATTTCCATTCATTTAAATCTTATAAAAGAATACCTCAATATTCTGAATTTTCATCCATTTCAGTCCCATCACAAAATCCCTCAATATTCTGAATTTCCATTCAAATCTCATAATAAAACACATCAATATTCTGAATTTCCATTCTTTTAAATCTTATAATAGAATACCTCAATATTCTGCATTTCTATTCATTTTAATCCCATCACAAAATGCCTCAATATTCTGAATTTCCATTTCAGTCCCATCACAAAATCCCTCAATATTCTGAATTTTCATCCATTTTAATCCCATCACAAAATCCCTCAATATTCTGAATTT